ACTCTTCCCTACTTTACTCTACTATACTCTACTAATCTCTACTCTACTGTACTTTGTGTTACTCACTGTACTCTACTTTACTCAATTCTACTCTATTCTACTGTAACCTACTCTACTCTACTTTACTCTACTTTAGTCTACGATACTTTACGCTTCTACTATCTTCTATTATTCTCTTCCCTAGGCTTCTCTTACGACCATTTCGTCAAAATTGACATTTTTTATTTTTTGAACGAAATTGAAATTGAGTTCTTTGGCCGAAAACTCGTCAAAATTTGTTGTTCCTGAGGGTCCAGCGTTTTACAAACGCTGGACTCTCTGGCTGTACATGGACCTAGCTTGAGACCAGGCAGGCAAAACTGCCTGAAGGTACCTGGTCTCAAGCTAGGTTCATATACAACCAAATGGTCCAGCGTTTTACAAACGTCGGACCCTCAGGAACAACAAATTTTTACGAGTTTTTGGCCAAAACTCGGTTTTAAATTTCGTTCAAAAAGTAAAAGATGTCCATTGTGACGAAATAGCAGTTCTCTTCCATACTCTAGTCGATCCCACTCTACTCTACTCTAACCTACTCTACTCTACTTCAGGATACTCAACTCTACTCTGCTCTACTTTACTCTACGATACTCTACACTTCCTTACTCGACTCTACTTTTTTCTACTTTTCTCTTCCCTAAGCTTCTCTTTGCTACTCGTCTCTACTCTATGCTTCTCTACTCTGCTCTACTCTACTTTGCTCCACTCTACTCTACTTTATGCTTCCCTACTCCACTTCACTCTACTGTAATCCACTCTACTTCACTTTACTCTACTCTACTCCACTCTACTCCACTCCACTCTACTCTACTCTACTCTACTCTCCTAAAGTCCTCTCTGCTCCACTCCACTCTTCTACACACCACTCCAGTTCACTCCACTCCACTCAACTCTGCTCCACTTCACTCAACTCTGCTCCACTCCACTCAACTCTGCTCCACTCCACTCTACTTCGCTCCACTTCACTTCACTCTACTTCATGTCACTCCACTCCACTCCACTCCACTCTATTCCACTCCACTCGACTCGACTTTACTCGCCACTCTACTCCACTTCACTCCACTTCACTCCACTCTACACCACTTGACTCAAGTCTACTCCATTTCACTCTACTCCACTCCACTTCACTCTACTCCACTCCACTCTACTTCACTTCAATCTACTCCACTCGACTCTACTCTACTGTACTTTACTCTCTTACATTGTACGATTCATAGCTCTCTCTACTCTACTCTTCTCTACTCTTATCTTCCATACGCCTCTCTTTCATACACTTTTCTTCCCTACTCTTCTCTACTCAACATTTCTCTACTCTACGTTTCTCTGATTTCCTCTTCCCTAAGCTTCTCTTCCCTACTTTTTTCTACGGTACGCTTTCCTACTCTACGCTTCCCTGCTTTGCCCTACTTTGCTCTGCACTTCTTTGTTACGCTCTACTCTACACTATTCTACTCTGCTTTCCTCTTATCTTCTCTGCTCTGCTCTACACTCCTTCATTGTGCTCTGCTCTACTCCATTCTGGCTTACTCTACTCCATTTTGCTCTACTCTACTTCACTCAGATCCACTTTACTCGCTTGCACTATCCTCCACTCCACTTCATGTCACTCTACTCGAGTCCACTCCACTCCACTTTACTCCAATCCACTTTACTCTACTTTCTTCCACTCTACTTCACTCCACTCCATTGTACTCCACTCCACTTCATTGAGTTACTCTACTCCACTTCATTGGGTTACTCTACTCCACTTCAATCTACTCCACTCCACTCTACTCTACTCTCCTCGACTCTACGTTTCCCTATTGTTTTTTACTCTACTCTTTTGTACTCTTATCTTCTCTACGCTTTTTTACTTCACACTTCTCTACGTTTCGCTTCCTTGCTTTGTTCTGCGCCTTTTATCTTCTCTACCCTGCTCTACACTACTCTCCTCTGGTTTGCTATGATCTGCTCTGCCTTGCTCTGCTATGATCTGCTCTCCTATGATGTGTTGCTCTTCATCATATTGCGCCCAGTTGCTGACTTGAATGGAATGAAAAATCTTCATCTTTATTTTTTTTCTTTGTATGGTGGTGTTGTTCTTTCTTTATTCTACGCATTGTTCTTTTGTTGTTCCCCTCTCTCTCTCTCTCTCTCTCTCTCTCTCTCTCTCTCTC